ATTGTCATTGTAAGTATATACACAGTATACCCATACAATGAAATTCACAGACATCCAGAGACCAGACACATGCACACACATAAAATTCCTCAAACACTCCCCACCCACTAAAAAAAAATCCCCCAACACTTCCCAAAAGTCCCCCACTAAAAATACAAACATCTACACCGCAGGCCAAGTAACACAGTCCAACTAACTATTCACTACTGGTGGTCTTTAAGCTCATTATTAAGTGCAATTATAGCTCTGGGATAAACACTATTCAGAAAACATGTGGTCCGAGTGTTAATTGTTCTATATCTTCTGCCAGACGGCAACAGTTCAAAAAAGTTATAAGCAGGATGGGAAGAGTCTCTCAGGATGCTGTGTGACTTCCTCAGACAGCGGGATGGGAAGATGTCATCCAGGGTTGGTAGCCGGAGCCCGATGATATTCTGGGCAATTTTAATGGTTCTCTGTAGAGCTTTTTTGTCTGCTACAGAGCTACTCCCAAACCATGCCAGAATGCCATAGGTTAGGACACTCTCAATGGTGCTACGATAGTATGACAGAAGTAAATGCTGTGATAAATTTAACATTGCATCCTACAGCAGCCTTTGCTTTTAGATTTACTTTGGTTGACTTGGAAGATAGCTCAAATATTCTTGAATCTAAACCAGACCTCGTCACACCCTTGGTGTCATCGTGAGTGGGTTCATCTTTCATCCGACCACTGCTGCCCCATCAGGAACACACACCATTTCCCTCCTTTCAGCTCTTTTTGTTAGTTCCAAATAGATATAATACCATTCAACAGGCAATGCTGTTGGGCTGTTCCCAAATAAATATGAACAAGGGCAGTCAATAAAATTATGAATACTTCAGTACTTAAAATTCAAACAGACAAAATGGAATCAAGATATTAGAACATCAGGGTACTGAAACAATACTAAAGCCCAGCAAGAAAACTTAACTTTCTGGTGTTTTTTCTAGTTATAGTAAATCATAGGAAAGGAGAGAGGGCCTTCTCCTTTTTTAACTCTCATTGTGTGCTTGAAGGGACAGTTGTTATTGTTGTTTAGTCGTTTAGTCGTGTCCGACTCTTCATGACCCCATGGATCAGAGCATGCCAGGCCCTCCTATCTTCCACTGCCTCCCGGAGTTGGGCCAAATTCATGTTGGTTGCTTCGATGACCCCGTCCATCCATCTCGTCCTCTGTCGTCCCCCTTCTCTTCTTGCCTTCACTCTTTCCCAACATCAGGGTCTTTTCTCATGAGATGGCCAAAGTATTGAAGCTTCAGGATCTGTCCTTCCAGTGAGCACTCAGGGTTGATTTCCTTTAGAATGGATTGGTTTGTTCTCCTTGCAGTCGAGGGGACTCTCAAGAGTCTCCTCCAGCACCACAATTCAAAAGCATCCATTCTTCAGCAGTCAGCTTTCTTTATGGTCCAGTTCTCACTTCCATACATCGCTACTGGAAAAATCATAGCTTTGACTATGTGGACCTTTGTCGGCAAGGTGATGTCTCGAAGGTACAGTAGGGCCTCCTTATTGGCAGGATCAGTATATGCTGATTCACTTACAGTATCCACGGTCTGAAAATATTAAAAATATTTTTAGAATCCATATATTTAACGATGAAGTTACCAGAACTGGCCATGAGACCATGCTATCTGTAGTGTTCACTATGAAAATAGTGTTCCACCTTTTTCAGTATCTGTGGGGACTTGGAACCGATCCCCTGTGGATTTAGGGATCCTATTGTACATACATATTAACATGGGGACTAACCATGGGGAGCTTTGCTTCTCTTCTCAGGTTTACTATCCAGTGAGACATCATTTGGTGCAGCACATGGTGAGCGCCATGCAGCGGCTCGGCTTCACTCCGAGCGTCACTATCGAGCAACGGAAGCTGGCGGTGGATCTGGCCGAAGTGGTCATCAAGTGGGAACTGCAACGTATCAAGGACCAGCAGGTAAGGGGGCTTAGTGGATTTGGCACCTGCTGTGAAAAGTCTCTGCATTTCTACACCAACTCCAGACTCCAAAGCTGTTTTCTGGAGTTTAGGGCCATTGAGAGCACAAGTCCGGTTGTATGTCACGGGCAATATGGCCCCATCTGTTGAGTTGCTGGGGATGGTGAGGTTGAGGATGTGGTGGTATTTGTGTCCTGCCAGTGGTTCCCGACCTTGGGCCCCCAGATGTTCTTGGACTGCAGCTCCCAGAAGCCCTTCGCCACCAGCTGTGCTGGCCAGGATTTCTGGGAGTTGTAGTCCAAGACCCTCTGGAGACCCAAGGTTGGGAATCACTGCTGTAAGCCATTGGCGGCCCACTGTGAGAAATAATTTTGGACTCGCACAGCTTTTGGTCTGATCCAGAAAGGTCGGCTTAAATTGTGTTCCCTTTCCTCCAGCCGGATTCGGATATGGACCAGGGGGTCAGTGGCGAAGGAGCCAGTTCTGCCTCATCTGCTATGAAAAGAGGTCTCTCGGTCGATTCTGGCCAAGAAGTGAAGCGGTTCAGGACGGCCACTGGAGGAATAAGTGCTGTAAGGCTGTTTTTTTGTCTGTCTGTCTCTCTTTGGGAGAATCATGCCCCCCCTTCTTTCCTCTTAATATCCCACGACCCCGAGTTTGGGGACAGTGATATAGCGCTGTAGCGCTGATGTGGTCGTTCTTCTGCTGTTAGGTATTCGGACGCAGCCAGTCCCTGCCGGGAGCGGATGCCCTGCTTTCAAAACCCATCGAGAAGCAACACACGGACACGGTCGTCAACTTCCTCATTAGAATTGCTTGCCAGGTACGGTGACCTCTGGAAACCGAATGCTGCTGGAACCAGAGTCAAGTCCCTGAACTGACCTCCGAAGGTTGATTCTGCATTTAAATAAATCCCCTTTGAGTTGACCCTGTTCGAACTGGGAGTGGTGGTAGGTGAGGGCCATTAAGGTCTAATGTTGGGGCACAGGCAGATTTAAATAGCAATTAAATTAAACGTGCTTTAAATCATATCTGTAAAAATAAACAACTGCATGCTATGCCCCTCACCCCCCCAAATTAAAATCCAACTTCCCCTTCAACTGCTGAGTTGTTTTTCAGCTGCAGTGGAAGGATTTGTGATGACAGGAGCTCAGGGTTGGTCATGGTGGGAAGAGAAAGTTTGAGACCTCTGGGGGACATGTTATTGTGCATGACCATAGTGGGTGCATTATTGTTGATGATGTTCAGTCTCTCACTCTTCACAGTAAGCTCCTCACAGCAGCTTGTAGTGGGCATAAAAATGAAAGATTGAAAACTAGAGGATACCAGGCTGGGGGAGGGAGTATTCCCTGATGATAAAAACGGCAGATGATTTAGGGTGGTTTTAATAGAGGGGGCATACGTTCCAAAAATGTGGAGCCACCACTGAAAAAGGCCTTCTGGATACCTTGGATTTGAACACCCAGAATCCCTGCCTGTTGGCTGCGCTGGTGGGCGCTTCTGGGAAATGAAGTCACAAAACTCGTGCTGTGCCAAAAATTGAGAATTCCTGGTTTTAAAGATTTTTTTAAGCTCCTGGTGTATACAGTTCACACAGCTCAGTTAAACTGTGGATTCTTTCCCCATTTTCCTCTTCTGTTGTAGCCATGGGACGGTGTTCAGAAGCTTCTGCTTCCCTTTAAGGGCAAGCCATAGTCTTTAGGATATATTATCAAAATACTAAACAGTTGTATTTTATCTTTGTTGTTGGCCGCCTAGAGTAGTCCATCGGACTAGATAGGCGGGATATAAATTAAATAAATAAATAAATAAATATTATCAAAATACTAAACAGTTGGGACTGTTAATTTAGTTACCGTATTTTTCTGTGTATAAGAAACCCCCTGTATAAGAGCCCCCCCCCACTTTTCTAATCCAAAATTAAGAAATCTAAGTGGGGCTTAGCAAGGGTGTGTGTGTGGGGGAAAGGGATCAAAGTGCTTCAGGATAGCTTTGATCCCTGCTTTCCCCCCCACTTGTTTTTGTTCTCTCTTCAGACAACCCTTAATTTTTTGTCTAAAGATTTTAGACAAAAGTATAGTCTTATACATGGAAAAATATGGCATTCATTTATTTATTTGAAATAATTTTATCCCGCCTTTCTCCTCCAGAGGACCCAAGGCGACTTAACATCATTAAATGGATAACATTTAAAAGTTAAGAACAGTGAGTGTCCAAATATTTAAAAAGAATTAAACAAGTATGTTAAAAATGGTTATAAAATCAATACTGCCACAGCTAATCCTAACAGTGTGTTCCTTGCAACAAGCAAACGTCATAACTCAGATTTGGTGGCTGACTGCTTTATCACACTTTGATCAGTACAGGAGAGAAGATTGATTGATTTGACTTGTGTAATGCACTAATGAATGGCAAGCACTCTTCTTGGCTGGTTTACATCCAAAGCAAAACAAGCGTAACATAAATAAAAAGCAAAGCAAAATGTGCTGCTTCTATACCGCCCCATAGAGCTTAAAGCACTCTCTCGGTGGGTTGCAATTTAATTATGCAGGCTACACGTTCCCCCACCCCCGAATTGGGTAATTATGCAGGCTACACATTCCCCCACCCCCGAATTGGGTAATCAGTTTATTGACCTTGGAAGGATGGAAGATTGAATCAACCTTGATCCTGGGATTAAACTCAGGTCCCTTGGAAGGATGGAAGATTGAGTCAACCTCGATCCTGGGATTAAACTCAGATCCTGATCACTGCAGTTTAACTGTTGGGCCATGAAAAGTATCTTTTTATTATTTAAGATGCAAGTCTCATGGCCCAATGGGTAAACTGCAGTACTGCATTGAAGACTCTGGTCATGACCGGAGTATAGAATACTATAAGCAAACAGCAAATATAGATAGACCAAGAAGGCGGGTAAACTGCAGTACTGCATTGAAGACTCCGGTCATGACTGGAGTATAGAATACTAAAAGGAAACAGCAAATATAGATAGACCAATAAGGCAATTCTCAATACAGTGGTGCCTCGTTTAACGGGCGCCCCGTTTAACAACAAAATCGCATACCGACGAACTTTTTGCGATCGCTTTGCGATGGTTTAAATGGGGAAAAATCATTTTCCGATGATCGGTACCCTGTTTCGCTTACCGATTATCACAAAGCAATGATTTTCTAACAGCTGATTGGCAGTTACAAAATGGCCGCCGGGTAAAAAAAAAAAGTGCCCGCCTGCTGTTTTCCTCGCTCACTGAGCAGCGAAAAAAATGGCCGCCTGCTGTGTTTCCTCGCTCACCGATTTTCTAACAGCTGATTGGCAGTTAGGATTTTTGCTTTAAGGTGAGTTTTAAGGCCATAGGAACACATTGAAGGGATTTCAATGCATTCCTATGGGTTTTTAAAAATCGCATAGCAACGAAATCGCTTTGCAGCGGTTTTTGCTGCACCGATTAACGTCACTATGCGAGGCACCACTGTAATCTGTAGAGGGAGGACAGAGTTCGGCTCACAGAATTCCATGGTCAGCTGGGAGATTCTGGGTACTGGGATTTTTTTTCAACTAATTTTTAATACTCTAGCTAGGCTACCTTTAAAATAATGCCTTTTCTTGCTTTAATGGGTGTTCTCGGAAAAGCAAAATGAGGTTACGGTTGTCGCAGGAGGCATGATGGCATTCAAATATGAATGGGTTCTAAAAGATGATGATGAGAAATGTTTGCCACTTGGTAATTATTCTTGGTTAATTGCTAGGTAAATGACAACTCAAACACTGCCGGTTCCCCGGGAGAACTGCTTTCTCGGCGCTGCGTTAACCTTCTGAAGACAGCTTTGCGGCCGGACATGTGGCCTAAATCGGAACTCAAATTGCAGTGGTTCGATAAGCTTCTAATGACGGTGGTAAGTTGGGCTGGAGGCAGATATAACTCTTGAGCATCAATGAGGTACAGTTATAATTCCAGGGCTTAATAAACGATCTGATCTGCATTATGAGGTGTCAATGGTGTTCCAGACTTCTTGATTCATCTCGAAACTGTGAAAATCCCCCCTTCCCTCTCTCCTCCTCGCTCCCTCTCGGTATGCGTGTGTGTATGGATGCTGAAGTAAACAGCACAGGGCTTGCCACAGAGAACTTGAAGTGTCATGTTAGCCTATTTAATTGCCAATTTAATTTGATGTCACGACTTGGAAAATGTTCGGCTTAATGGAATTGATTTAGAGTCTCAAATAATTACTCCTGCCCTTCTCTTGACATCAGGATTAGCAGGGAAAAAAAAGTCGGGTGGCTGAGAATTGGAAATGGATGCTTGGCGTGAATGATAGGCTTTGCGTTGAAACCTTGATAGGATGCTGGTATTGATGTGTGTGTTGCTTTTTACAGCTCCTAGAGAATTCGTTGAAATGAGCTGGCCGCTGCTATTAACGTCTCAAGCATTTATCGGAGTGATCTTTATTTTGTTTTATTTTTTTTTTCTAATCCAGGTCTTCCTTCCAGAAGCTCAGAGTAGCAAAAAAGAGTGCTCTTCCTTTATTCTTGTAAAACAAAAACAAAAAACCCTGAAATAACTTATTTTAAGTTCAGCTGGTTTGATAACAACCAATGATCTTACAGGCTGAGCAAAGTTTGCTCCTTTTTCTAGACTGGCCACTTTGATCCACGGGGGGTGGGGGAACGGGACTTAGTGATTTCCTAATTCCTCTGGGAGTTTTAGTCCAAGAACATCTGGGGACCCAAGGTTGGGAACCACGGTCCTAAGTCAACCTTTCCCAGCCATTTGTGATAGGCTCTGACTCCTGTGATCCCCAGCTAGCATGGCCAGTGGAAGACACCCGGAGAACACATCTAGAGCAGTGGTCCCCAACCTTGGGCCTCCAGATGTTCTTGGACTACAACTCCTAAAACCCTTCACCACCACCTCTGCTGGCCAGGATTTCTAGGAGATGAAGTCCAAGAACATCTGGAGGCCCAAGGTTGGGGATCAGTGATCTAGAGAACATCAAGTGGTGGTGGAGGAAAGAAGGTGCTCTAACCACTACACTCACTAACCCTGGCTTCCTCATATGTCTAGAAGTCAGCCAGTGTTTTTCCTCCAAATTGCTGTAGTAAGGACGATGGAAAAGGTGTTTAGCGAGCTGCAATGAGCAGCCTTCTTGCAACACAACCCTAGTAGGTTTTTAGACACCAATTTCATACCTCCTGAGATTAACCATTAAGAATCCTTAGGGAAGGTTAGACTTCCTTTCTCTCTCTGGTTTCTGCCATTATTTCTTTTCCAACATCTCATTTAAAAATCCATTATTTAGCTTAGGATGTTTTGGCTCCTGTGATTTGTTTTTATATGGTTCTTTTTAGCCACAATGTGTTTTCCTTGTATACATTATTACACTTTTGGTTTTTGCATTTCGTTGGCTCGTTTGAACATGGCTTCCTGTGGAGGAAATTAAGGTTGTAAATTATGGTGTGAATGAATGGAGTAAGGAAAGAGGATCTTGTATATCCAAAAGGAATGTTTTGATGGCTATATTTCTTTACCTCTTTCCTAAATATCAATCCTTGCCAACAGCAATGAAAACACTGGAACAGCTGTGTCTGTGTGTGTGTCTCTCTCTCTCTTTCCGTATATTTCTTTACCTCTTTCCTAAATATCAACCCTTGCCAACAGCAACGAAAACACTGAAACAGCTGTGTCTCTGTGTGTGTCTCTCTCTCTTTCCGTGTTTAGAAATGTGCGTCTCTCCCTGTGTGTAGGATGTACAAGGAAGGCACTAGTTTAAGAGCTAGGGTAAGTGAGTTGGGAGTTGTGAAACATTAAAACATGGAAATACAGTGATGTCTCACAAGACGAAAATAATTTGTTCCACGAGTCATTTCGTATTGCAAAAATTTCATCTTGTGAATTTTCCCATAGGAATGCATTGAAAAAAAATTCATCTTGCGAAGCATGGCCATAGAAAAATTCGTCTTGCGAGTCACCAAATAAATTGTAAAATGGTTTCGTCTTGCGAGTTTTTCATTGTACGAGGCATTCATCTTGCGAGGCATCACTGTATGAGCAGTTGCAAGTATATGGAGAAGAACCAGAGATGGACATGAACTTCTGGTTCGGTGGTTTGTGCTGGTTTGTTTAACAGCCAATCAGGTTTGTGGCGGTTTGAAGTCCCGCCTCTTCTGGCAGGTACCCACTCAGAGGCAGGGCCTGGAGGAGGCGGGGTGGGGAAACCAGGGCCCTGCCTCTGATTGGGTGCCCACCAGAGGAGGCGGGGCTTTGACGTGCCAAACACCTGTTTCGTTGCTAAACGAACCAGCATGAACAGCTGTATTTCTTGCCCATCTCTCGTCAAGAAAGATACACTCACAACCATCTCATGTGGTTGGGTTGCTGTGGCTTCCGTGTAGCATGGCAGTCAAAGGTGTGGGTCCTGTACCAGGGAATTCTAGGTTTCTTGTCCCCATTGAGCTAACGAGCAAGCAGAGTGAGCCTGGGGGAACATATGTGAAGTCCCGCCTCTTCTGGCAGGTACCCATTGAGCAAACGAGCACGCAGAGTGAGCCTGGGGGAACATATAACTCCCCTGTCACAACCGCTCCACGGGCTGCTGATCCGTTTCTGGCACAATTTGGAGTTCTAATCTATGAAGCCCAAAACGCCTTGGGTCCATATTATCTCCTCTTAATAGCCTGCTCAAGCATTAAGATCATTAGGATGGGCCTCGCTCTCAGTCCCACCATCCTCACCGATGCTTTTGCTGAGGACCTGGGAGAGGTCTTCTCAGTGGCTGCTCCCAGTCGCTGGAACTCCCTCCCACTGGCTGACGCCATCTTTGCTGTCCTTCCGCAAGCAGGCAAAGTGACTGTACCAGGTGACTGTAGTGACTGGCGGCCCAGGTGGGATTTTTAAATGGGTTGTTTTAGCTAACTGCTTTGATTGTGTTTCTGGTGTTGCTTTTTTAAAATTTTAAGTATGTTATTAGTTTGATCTGTTTCAGTATTTGTACGTTCACCGCTGTTTAAATACTGTCTTTTAATTTATTGATTGATTGATTGATTTGATTTGATTTGATTTGATTTGATTTGATTTGATTTGTGTCGCGCCTATCTGGACTACCAGACCACTCTGATAGAATTCATCATTTTTTAAATATATTTCAAATATTTTGACCCCACCTTTCTCCTTAAAAGGACCGAAGGGTGGTTTACATGCTTAAAAGACAGCATTTCATGCTAGCGACGGTGAGTATACAATTACTGAAAAGGATCAAACAGATATGATACCAAAAACATACGCAACACCAAAACACATCCAAAGCAGTAAGGTGTAGGAAGGTAAAACCACCTTGGGTCCTTTTTAAGGAGAAAGGTGGGATAAGAATAGAACAGGACACGACAGGAAAGGTGGGATAAGAATAGAACAGGACATGACAGGACAGACAGACAGATAGATAAGAGTTGGTTTATAAATGATCTTGGTCATTAAATCAATACGTCTTGTGGCTAAGTGAGATCTGAAAGTGGTTCTCTCTAGTCTTAATCTTGTAATAGGTACCATGCTGGTTCCTGGTGTGTAGTTTCTGGTTCATGCATTTTGTGTCTGGGGATGTTGTGAGTGCAGAAGCGAATGACATGTAGGGGACATTTTATTTTATAGCTGGCCTCTGTATCCTGCCTTTCATTTCTCCTGAAGCCCACTGCTCTTACTTTGCGCCTACCTGACTACTTCCATCCATATGCCGGGATGTCAGGACAATGTGTCATGCATGTTATGAAGTGTTGCAGCCCATAAAAGCTTGTTCCATAATATAGTGGTGCCTCGCAAGACGAACGCCTCACGGGGCAAAAAACCTGCAAGATGAATGGTTTTAGCGATCACTATGGTGCCTCGCAAGACGGCTTCTTCTATGGCCATGCTTCCCAAGATGATTTTTCCCCAAGACTGATGCCTCACAAGACGGAAAAAAAATTCATTCGTCTTGCAAGGTTCCCATAGGAATGCATTGCAGTGCACTCCTATGGGAAGCCACTTTTTGCAAGACGATTTTTTCGCAAGACAGCACTACTCGCGGAACGAATTACATTCATCTTGCGAAGCACCACTGCACATGTATTATGTTCTGTTCTGAATGTACTTGCTCTTTTCTACCAGCTGAACAGCAAGCTACTTTTACAGGTTATTACCAGGTTGCGGGTATATGTGTTTGAGATTGATTTGTTTCTCTGAACAGCGATTCTTCTCCATTTCTTTTTTCTTTCTTCTGACTTGCTTTGTAAGTCAACTTGAGAGCGCTTCCATTAAAATTCAGCACTTAGTTCTGAAGTACTAGGAAAGATCAAGCTGAATTACTTAGCAGCTCCTCTGCACCTTGTCTGTCTTCTTACAAATGAAGCAGCATTACATAGTGCTGTAAGAATTATCTTTGGCCTCCCTTCCCCGTTCTGAATAATTGAATGCAAATCTATTATTCTAGCACCGGTTGGAGGTGTTTTTTTTTCCAGTGGCTTGGCAAAAGCAGCTCTCATTGGGAGCCCAGTAGAATCTGAGAATTGTAACTCTGGAAGGAACCACAAGGGCCATTGAGTCTACCTGCTTGGCAAAGCAGGGAATCCACAGCTAAGGCCATCTCTCAACGGATGTTCATCCAACCTCTGTCTAGAAGCCTTCAGTGAAGCCCAGTGTCTCCTGAAAGTGGTCCTTTCCGTTCTCAAGACTGATCAGGAAGTTCTTCCTCATGTTTAGTCCAACTCTCCTTGCTTTGTCATGATCCAGATAGGATGTCTAAATGATGCTGTGAATAGAGTCCAAGTATAGAGAGAATTGACACATTTGGGCTTCACAAAACTGCCCATGGCTCTTTAAAGAGATTTTCCCCCCTGCAGTCCCAAAAGATTTTTTTATCCTTTTGCCATTAATCAAGTCTTTTCCACTGAATATCCTCTTGATTTCTTATGTTCCAATAAATTGGATGCCCAGAAAGAAGTCTTCCTTTTCTAGGATTTATTTATTTAGCAGTCGAGCCTGTATATGGTGGGACCGCCATATTCACGAGGAATTGGTTGGGATATTTATTGTGCTTTAGGAACCTAGGATATAGCTTGATCCCAGATCATTCTGTTTCTTTGTCTGGCCCAAGAATGGGCAAATGTAGTGATCCAAGGCCAGCTTTGACATTCCCCAACATGAATTACTCAAGGTTCCTTCCTCCCTTCCTCCCCACCCAAGACTTGAGGTTTACTTGCTGGTTTTTTTTCCAAAAGAGGACATAATTTCCCTAAAGTAGTAATGGGCAAAGTGTCCCCCACACCGCATTTGTGGCCCCCAGCCTCTTAATACCCCCCTCATCCACCCATGCTTTCGTCTAGTGAAAAAAAGATAGATTGTCATTCCTGCAAGTTGGTTCACCTTCAGAACAGGACCTCCTTACGAGGTTCAATGCAAAAGCAGAAAACCTATCAGGGCCTCTGAAGTCGCTATCCGGCCATTTTTGTTGGGTATCGATTCCTGCATTTTTGCAGAGACAGAGTTTGGGAGTTCGATTCCCCCACTGGGCCTTCTTGGCAGGGGTTGGACTAGATGATCCGTAGGGTCCCTTCCAGCTCTGCTGTTCTAAGAGGATGATCTGTCATTTTTCCAGTTGTGTCTCTTCTGACTGTAGGGACTCTATATGGTTTTACAAATAAGTCTTTAGGGTGTCAAGTGTGCCTGTCTTAAGACCCTCTGTGTTTCCCCTTGATCTTTCACTCCAGGAACAGCCTAACCAAGCTAACTTCGCCAATATCTGTACCGGATTGGAGGTGCTCAGCTTCCTCCTGACCGTGCTGCAGTCGCCGGCAATTCTGAGCAGCTTCAAACCTCTGCAGCGTGGGATCGCCTCTTGCATGACATGCGGGAACACCAAGGTCCTGAGAGCTGTCCACACCCTGCTTTCCCGTTTGATGAGCAACTTTCCTACAGAACCAAGTACGTTCGCGTGGACCAGGGATGTGGGCAAGTCTTTGGCCCGCGTCTCGAGTCCCAAAGAGTCTCGAGTCATTTGCCCTGCCCCCGGGAGCGGTGCATGCATAGGGACAGGAGGCCTGGAAGGGAAGCCGGGTGGGCGCATGCGCATGCGTACAGGCAGCAGGCGGACTTCCCTTCCCAGAGCCCGCCTCTGCGCAGACGCCAGCCTATCAGCTGGCTGCGCAGGTGGAGGCAGCAACCTGAAAAGGAAGCCAGGCTTGCTGCCTTCGTGGAGGGGGTGCCGCAGCAGTGGCAGGAGCAGATAGGGAGGCGCATCCCGAATAGGGAGCCGAAAATGTGATTCGGAAACATGGGTGCCAGTCATGAGACGAGTTCGAGTATTCCCAAAAAATACCCAAGTTGAATTCAAGTCAAGTCATCAGTGTAACTTGAGTTGGATTCCACAGTGAGTTGTGACGCATGAATCCCTATCCCTGGTATGGACACTCTTACTGGAATACCACCACCACCCAGTTTTGAGATACGCTGCCCATTTCAGAGAGGACGGTATATCTCCGTATGCGCATCCATCTCATTTGTGCTGTTTTTTTTTCACAGACCAGTTTTTGAGCTTGCACTTTCAACCCCAATTAAAAGAAAAGTTGAAATAAGTAATCACGAGAAATACATCATTATCCAGTGGCATAAAAACTTAATAACCTGTGTCAGTTATTACTTTGGCTCAAGAAATGCGTGTCATAAATTTAATGTCTTTTGCAATTACCATTTTTCTGCTTTGAAGGTGCCGTTTCTCAGTTGTTGAACATGGCTGTTTTAATAAGACAAGGAAGGGAAATTGGGTGTAAAGACAGGCTTTAAGTAACGGGAAGTAAGTGGGAAGAGGAAGAAAGGAGATGGAGAGTTAAGCCCAGTGATTAGTCCCGAGTAGACCCGTTGGATCAGTGGGACTTATAGAAGTGTTGACTTAAAGAGTCCTATTAATTCGGCGGGACATTCTGAGCCCTAAGACTGAAGTCTAGCATCGCTTACTTGAAAGTAAGCCTCTTTGTGTTTAACCGTGTGTGTGTGTGTGTGTGTGTTAGCTTCGGAAGAGATGCGTAGCGCTTGTTTCTGAAGTTGTTGCAACTAAATGTTCAGTGTTCTCACTGGAAGCCAAGCGTCTTCATAAATCTTGCATTGTTTGAGTAGATACAAAGCATTTCGGATCGGAAAGGTAGACAGCAGCCCTTGCTTGACCTGTTAAAGAAACTCAATAAGAAAGGGTATAGCAGCATATTACAAACAGTGTAATATCCTGGCATTGCGGCTTCTGCCCCTATGTCAGCTGTCTTCCAGCTTGAACGAAAAGCAATAAGATTTGGATGCCTATCAAGTAATCTGTCTTGCCTTCCTGATGGTTTGCCTTTTGTCTAGGTACTTCAAGCGTTGCCTCTAAATATGAAGAGCTGGAGTGTCTCTACGCTGCTGTCGGGAAAGTTATTTACGAAGGGCTTACCAATTATGAAAAAGCCACAAATGCCAACCCTTCTCAACTTTTTGGTAAGTTTCCTGGGCCGTCACATCGTTTGTGTGGGGTCGAAAAGGGTGTCGTCCGTTGACCACCTTGAGCTGAGAGAATGCCAGAATCCTATTGATGCTTTAAGTTGGGGTGGAAGATTGCCACACTTTCACGAGGTGCCAGTTGCGTTCCTGGGCATGCGCCCAGTCCTATAAGCTGACCCCATGCCCTGGGAATGCAACCAGCAGCTTCCATCTGTACCTTGCATTTGCACCTTTATCGTCACAGAAACCCTATGAAGTTAGATCAGATTGTGTTTATGTGACTCAGCCAGTTTCATCGGATTACCTTTAAGGTTGAGTTGAACATTTTGAGTCTTAATGTGACACATCCATCCCAGCTGGTGGGTCATCTTCACCCCGGTCCCTTCTTGGAGATGCCCGCTGTTTCAGCAAGTCACACATGATGGAAGCTTTGCTGTGTTGATATGATGTGTTTGGTGTGATGTTTTGTAAACTTTTATACCCTTCAGTTCTGTTGGTTAACGTAGAACTTCTGTCTTCATTGCTATGTTTTAAAAGAGCCGGACAACTCATGGATGGTGACGAGTCTTGTGCAACGCCTCCCACAATTATCTGATATTATGTGATTTTATCTAAATAATTTTATTCGACCTTCCTGGTCACTGACCATAATAAATAAATACAAATACACATGGAGTCTACACAACGAGCCGGACAACTCATGGATGGTGACGAGTCTTGTGCAACGCCTCCCACAATTATCTGATATTATGTGATTTTATCTAAATAATTTATTTTTATTCGACCGTAATAAATAAGAAATAAAATTTATGATGATTGTTCTTTATTAATTAAAATGATTTGTCGGTAGGGTTTTTGTTGTTGTTAACCAGAGCTCTTGAAAGAAAACAAAAAGTTCAAAACCCCGACAATATAATTCAGTTTTGATGTTATTTGAAAGCTCAGTAAGGTTAAGGAAGGAAGGGCGCTGCATAATCAGAGTGTGGTGGTTCCCTCCCCCCCCCTTTTAAGTGCTTTTTCTGATCCCCCATCAACCTAAAACGTAAACCAGATTCCGTTTAGTGATGTTTTCACATAGCGAGGGTTAATCCGGAACGGATTAACCTCGCTATGCGAGGCACCACTGAACTTCTGTCTTCATTGCTATGTTTTAAAAGAGCCAGACGACCCATGGATGGTGACGTGTCTTGTCCAACGTCTTCCGCAATGAACTGATATTATGTGATTTTTATCCAAATTATTTATTTTTATTCTCCTGGTCACTGACTGTAATAAATAATAGATAAAATGTATGATGATTATTCTTTATTAATTAAAATGATTTGTCAGTAGGGTTTTTGGTGTTGTTAACCAGAGCTCTTGAAAGAAAACGAAAACCTCGACAATATAATTCAGTTTTGATGTCTTTTGAAAACTCAGTAAGGTTAAGGAAGGAAGGGCGCTCCATAATCAGAGTGTGGTGGTTCCCTCTCCCCCCTTTTAAGTGCTTTTTCTCCCCCATCAACCTAAAACGTAAACCAGAGCCTCAGTAGCTTATGAGCGACTTGTATTATGGGATCCACCCTCTTCCATATGTTAACAGAATTGGTGGGGGAGTGTCACGCAGCTCCTTCACTAATAAATGTTTTTAAAATCTGATTTCCATTTTTAAAATCACAGTTTTAATTTTTTTTTCAGAATGGATTTTTGTGTAGGGTGCCTTACGGACCTAAAACAGTTATAGGAGAGGATGCCAAAAAGTTGGCAAAATTGTCCACCGCGTCGTAGAGAGTACAGGATATACTTTGATGTCAAAATAAAGGCATGTGTGCCAGCGGAGGGACCTCCGTTGCCAACTGTCTATAACCTCCATACATTTTCTGTGCTTTTATTTCCGGTATAATAAACTTGTTCCAGAGGCAATTATGGGAGTCTTGCCTCCCTTCCTTCAGATCTTCCGTAATCTCGGCTTTCATTCACATATTAACTTTTGATTAAAGAAGCCGAGGGATGGCGTTTCCTCTTTAGATCTGTCCAGAGCGGAGGCTGTGTGGGTACTGCCGATGCGTTGAGATGATGAGACCGTTTGGCAAATGGGGGTCCTTCTCCAGCTTGGCCACGGAATTGCTTCTGTCAATAACGCCGGGCCAGAGATTGCGTTGGTTTGGAGCGCTGCCTGCTTTAAATGGCAAATGTCCTTCACCATCCCGGGCTGCGATCTGTGTAGACAGCTGTAATTTCACTTTGGGAATTGGCTATTTGTCAGGTGTCAGGGTGTGCTGTAGAACACCATTGACCAAAGTTGCGGGGAGAGAAATCCTTCTTTTTATCATGAGCTCAGAATACTCCAAGGTTATATAGAGCCTCGTGGCCTCATCACCCCCCCTTGCAACCTTTTATTCTTGAGTCCGTATACAGTATTACTGAAGGTCCTCTCCTTCCCTTTCCAAAGTAACTGGGCTGCAGACTCATAAAGAATACACCAGTGTCACGCACCCTTGATGAAAAGGGAGGCGAGAGAGAGAGAGGCCTCGGGAAAATGAAGTACAGTAAGTTACTTATTCCCTTGGCTACTCAGAGTGGAATGTCTCAACCAGTTAGTGGAATTTCCGTAGAATTACCCCGTTTCCCCGAAAATTAAACCTAACCTGAAAATAACCCTTAGTTGGATTTTCAGGATGCTCATAATATAAGCCCTACCCCAAAAATAAGCCCTAGTTAAGTAAAACCCTGCCCTTCATCATTGTGCAGCAACCAGAAGATGACACGACTGTAAAATGAAACACCCCCTGAAAATAAGTCCCAATGCATTTTTTTTTTGGAGCAAAAATTAATATAAGACCCTGTCTTATTTTCGGGGAAACACAGTATTGAGCTATCTGTCTGGATAGCAAAAGATAGGGAGATTAAAGGACTGTGTTTGGATTGCGCTGCCGTTCTACTTAGAGCAGATTGGAGGGCAGGCATTGCTCTGTACGTCTGCCACTCTGGCCATTTTTCAGGTTCAAGGCTGATATTTTGAGTACCTGTAGGTATAGAAAAAGGCAATTGCATTTAGTCTTTTGCAATGACACCGGTTAGGGCGAGTGTGTTAATTAATAATAATCTTAGAATCGCAGACCCTATGAATCGTCGAGTCCAGCCTTTGCCAAGGAGGCACAGTGGGGGAATCCAACTCCCAAGCCTTGGGCTCTGCAGCCAGTTGCCTAAACCACTGAGCTATCCAGCAGCTACTCTACTTGATGTCCTACTTTTCATCTATTCAGCTCCAAATAGCGCACTTGCTTCTTCCTGTCCCTGCTTTAGTCTCAGAGCAACATCCCTGTGAGGTGGATCAAGCCGAAAGGCTGAGTGATCCAACTTCACTCACTATGTCTTAGAGGGGATTTGAGCTGGCGCCCTTGATTTCTAGTCCCAGACGCTCAACTGCTCTACCCCAGCCTTTAGACCATTGAGTTCTGTGGGTGGGGAAGTAGGAGTGGATGGGAGTCCTCAGGCTGAACGCGGAGGGGTATGTGGTGCAGATGGCTTTATAGGTCCCCCCACCTCGCTTGTGTGTTAGCTGTACAGAATTAAATAAGGTAAAGTTGGATTACATTAAGAGTAGGAGAGAAAGTTGTTGGAGAGTTTTGTTATACACTGGTCCTGTTTTGTCTATGTGAATTTCAGAATGTGTTTTCATCAGTCTACAACTTCCTTTTTCTAATCAGTTTTAATGTATCATTCATTCATTCATTCATTCATTCATTCATTCATTCATTCATTCATTCATTCATTTCATTTCATTTCATTTCATTTCATTTCATTTTTTTTTATACTGCCCATCTGGCCAAAGGCCACTCTGGGCAGTTTTACAACAAACAACATCATAAAAAGGCAGTTAACAGAACAGGAAGTAAAGATAACAAAAAATACAAATAAACAATGCAATCATACGCATCGAAAACCCACCTTTACATCAAATGTTAAAAACATTTAAAATGGCAGACTTGACCAAGTGGGCTTAACTAAGCCCAGCTGAATTCGCAAGTCTGACGTTTTGGAATGCCTGTCCAAATAACAAGGTTTTTAATGACTTTTTAAAAAATTGCGAGCAAAGGGCCGAGACGGATTACGGGAGGGAGTTCATTCCATGACCGAGGAGCAACCGCCCAGAAGGCCTGGTTTCCCATCTTCTCCCTCCGGGCCTCTCTCAGGATTAGCCTCCTCATCCGGCCTATTTGGGATGTTCCTGTACGAGGAGCAAGACTCTCTTGGTCTACCCTTTTTAATATATATTTATCAGGTTTATAGATAAAGGTAAAGGTTCCCCTTGACATTTAGTCCAGTTGTGTGTCCAACTCTAGGGGGTGGTGCTCATCCCTGTTTCCAAGCCGTAGAGCCAGCATTTGTCCGAAGACAGTTTCCGTGGTCACGTGGCCAACGCGACTAGACACGGAATGCTGTGACCTTCCCACCGAGGTGTTACCTGTTTATCTACTCCCATTTAGAACACCATTGACCAAAGTTGCGGGGAGAGAAATCCTTCTTTTTATCATGAGCTCAGAATACTCCAAGGTTATATAGAGCCTCGTGGCCTCATCACCCCCCCGAAACCTTTTATTCTTGAGTTCGTATACAGTATTACTGAAGGTCCTCTCCTTCCCTTTCCAAAGTAACTGGGCTGCAGACTCATAAAGAATACACCAGTGTCACGCACCCTTGATGAAAAGGGAGGCGAGAGAGAGAGAGGCCTCGGGAAAATGAAGTACAGTAAGTTACTTATTCCCTTGACTACTCAGAGTGGAATATCTCAACCAGTTAGTGGAATTTCTGTAGAATTACCCCGTTTCCCCGAAAATGAGACCTAACCTGAAAATAATCCCTAGTTGGATTTTCAGGATGCTCATAATATAAGCCCTTATATCTAGACTAGAGACGGGGGTATTCGTATTCGTATACGAACGAATACAAATATCTCCCCACAGGTGCAGATAACTACTCATGATTCCACTGCTGTGTAGCTTCTCTAAATGCCATCAGCTAATTAGGGTGTATTTTACCAGCTGTTTTGCGGCTTCAAAACGACCCGAAATGGCCCCCCGCGGCGTTTTCGCGCCCTCGGCAAGCGAGGGGAGGGCGCGAAAATGGCTGCCCGGGGCCAGGAAACTTCTCTAAGTGGGAAGTTTAGGGCCGATTTGGAACGCATTAAATGAAGTTTAATGCGTTCCAATGGCTTTTTACTTCCCGCTTAGCGAAGATTTCGTATAGCGAAGGTTAATCCGGAACGGATTAACCTCGCTATACGGGGCACCACTGTATTTGATCTGCTGCCGTTTTTAAAAAGGAAAGGACTCTTGATTGGCTTGTTCCAAACCGGACAGCGACAAATGGATTCAGTTTTCGAAAAGAAACGTCTTGGGTAATGTCGGGTTTTCTTTTGCTCCGTTGTGCTGTTCTAGGAACTTTGATGATTCTGAAGTCTGCCTGCAGCAACAATCCCAGCTATATCGACCGACTGATCTCGGTCTTCATGCGGTCTCTCCAGAAGATGGTGAGGGAGCATCTGAACCAACAATCGCAAGCGGGAACGGCAGAAGCGAACACGGGTAATTGCTCTACTGCGCCATTCATTCCTTGAATGTTGTACCCTCTCCCCCGAGTATGGTCATCTCTGCATTTCACAGTTTTAGAGAGCCTACCCCAAAGCCCCTGAATTCCATAGCGGTTGCCACAGCTTCTTTAAAATTAAGACATCCTCGTCAGGGTTGGTGCACCTGTGAACAGAAACGGCAACAGTGTTAGAATGAATAACTCAAGCTGTGCTGCATTCATCCGGACGAACCAAGCAGAATCCACGAGGAAGGCAACTCATGGGAACATCTACAAGTCCCAGAGTTCAGAAGGAGCTAGTTGTGCATAAAATAGTTAGTTACCTATAGCCAGTTACTTTTTGGGTTACTGAGCAGTATAGATACAAAGTTACAGTAAAAGTCATGTACAATGGTACCTCGACTTGCGAACAGCCCTCCTTGCGAACGATTCGAGTTACGAACGGCTCCGTTCGCAAAAAGTGGCTTCGGCCTTTGAATGGAGCCTCGACTTGCGAACCAAAAAGAAAAACTATATCTTTCTTGCCCTTTTTTTGATCTAAGTTCACCTTAGGTCAAAAGAAGAAGAAAAATTGACCCCTAGTGGTAGAGTATGGATTAACCGGCTTTGCATTAGTTCCTATGGGAACTAACGAGTTACGAACGGCTCCGTTCGCAAAAAGTGGCTTCGGCCTTTGAATGGAGCCTCGACTTGCGAACCAAAAAGAAAAACTATATCTTTCTTGCCCTTTTTTTGATCTAAGTTCACCTTAGGTCAAAAGAAGAAGAAAAATTGACCCCTAGTGGTAGAGTATGGATTAACCGGCTTTGCATTAGTTCCTATGGGAACTAACGCCTCTACCTACGAACAACGCCTTGAAATAAGAACGAAAAACAGCAGATACGGATTAAATGGTTTTCAATGCATTCCAATGGGAAAGTTTGACTCGACTTACGAACTTTTCAACACACGAACTTAATTCCAATACGGATTAAGTTCGCAAGTTGAGGTACCACTGTACTTACAAAGTTCCTTTCATGGTATAATGAGTAAAATGTTCCAGTTAATTTCAAATGTTGATTTAAAAGGATATTTTAAGTCATTTTTTTTGCAAGTGCATAGATGGAAATTCTTCCAGTTTTATGCCTTTCTCTTATCAATATTAAACAGCAAGATGACTTTGTTTTCAGGGTGTGTCAAGAAACACTGAGTGTGGTTTAGTGGATAGACTGAGAGACAAATACTCGGGAGACCCATGTTTGAATCTCCGCTTGGCCATGGAAGTTCACATGGATTTGAAATTGCTAAAACCACTTCTTAAATATCTCACTTGTCTTGAAAGCACTGTTTGGGTCACTATAAGTCAGTTCTGACTTGATGGCAGATAACAACAAACATATATTTGCAAAGTGTGATAATTGGAATTGAACAACAGATGAAATCAGCGAGTATTTTTCTGTATGTTTTCTGGGCAGCTGTTATCAACACGAGGCGCTAATTCCATTCAACACAATGAATTGCATTTGTGATTGGCGCAGTCATAACAATAGCAGCCACCTCTCTGCTGAGAAGTAAAGAATAGCATAGCGAGTTCCTTTTGAAAATTAACCACTCAGCTGGTGACAGTTGCACAAAGCTGTACAAGCTCTTGAGTTCTCCAGAACTGTTAAATCAGACTTGGTAGGTGAAAAATAGTTGGGGTGTGTGCGTGTGCATCCACGCAGACTTGGTGCATCACTAGTAGGCAGATGGGTATCACAATACATCCAGTAATACTGGTAATAATGAAGACAGAATGTGGAGTCACCATATCTTGCCTTGGGGGAAAATGCAGATTTCTTAGAAAACGTATTGCAGTCTAGTGAAGCAGCACAGTCCTTATACAGTGGTACCTCGCAAGACGACGACCCCGCTAAATGACGAATCCGCATAACAATGACTTTTTGCGATTGCTATAGCGATTCGCAAAACAGTCATTCCTATGGGGGATTTTCGCTGGATGTCGATTAGGTCTGTGCTTCGCAAACCGTTTGTTCACAAGACGACGATGATCGGTGGCTTTGCAGAATGGCTGCCTTGTGTTTTCCGGACCCATGCTTTGCAGGCCAGCCATCTTTACAGCTGATCGGCGCTTGCAAAATGGCTTCCCTATGGGCAATCTTTGCTGGACGACGAGGTATTTTCCCCATTGGAACGCATTAAACCGAGTTTCAGTGCATTCTAATGGGGTAACGGATTTCGCATGATGACGATTTCACTAAACAGCGATTTCAGTGGGACGGATTATCGTCGTCATGCGGGGCACCACTGAATAAGGAAGACTGGAGACTGGGTTTCAAATAGAACCTTAATTTAAAAGAGCCAGCTAGAGACGATGTCCTTAACAAATGGACTGAAGAAGGATCTGTATTAGAGATGGGTGTGAGCCTGGAAAATGGTGGTTCATCAGGGTTCGTTGTTCACAGATAGCCTCGAACCCCAAATCACCACTAATGTACTGGGAACTGAACTGGTTTGTGGTACAGTTTTTGTCTTGTGCCCTGTGTGTCGGTAGGGGGCGCTAGTTGATCCTGTTGAGCCACTGCCTCCACATCCTTGCCATAGCTCAGCTTCCTTTCTAGGAGCTTGGGTGCTAGCTCTGCGCAGGTGCCTGATCCCCCCCCCCCCCGCTCCGCTGTGGTGCGGGCGCAGAGGCTGTCCCAGTTTGTGGATCTCATTTTGCTGAAGCAAAATAAAGTGCTTTGGTGGTGGTGGTGGGCAATTTGGTGCTTTCTTTTGCTTCGGTGAAATGGGATCCCCAAACTGAGTTGCGAACTGAACTGCAAATCCCAATCCATCAGTTTTTCTGGCTCATTGTTGGGTTCCTGCCCATCTCTATTCTATTTTGCAAAAAATGGGGAAGCTTCTTGTCCGGACTTCCACAACTTGGCGTTCCTCCAGATGTGCTGGATCAAAACGCCCATCATCCTATGTCTTCATCGGAGTCGAAATCTAATATGTGTGTTTATTTTCCTCCCTTCAAAAATTTTAAATTCAATATGGAGAGATGATAATACTTAAAACTATATTTCCATTCCTGGGTGCTTGGCAGCTGTTTTGCATGACTTTATGACAGCATTTTTTTTTAGGAGCCTCGTACACAGAAGTGGGTTTATGGCTTATGAAATGGTCCCCTGAATTGAAAGCTGTTCCCATTGCTTGCTGGGGAAGGGGTCGAGGTCTCTAACCAATGGAGAACATTCATTCGCCCCTCCACGGGTTGTCAAATAACATGCATGATTGTGTTTCGATTCCCTCCGTAGCTGGGACAAGCGAACTGGTCATGCTGAGCTTGGATTTGGTCAAAACCCGCCTTGCTGTAATGAGCATGGAAATGAGGAAGAATTTCATCCAGGCTATTCTGACGTCACTCATTGAAAAGTCCAACGATACCAAGATTCTCCGTGCTGTGGTCAAAATAGTGGAAGAGTGGGTGAAAAATAACTCTTCGTTGGCTACCAACCAGGTAACCCCTCCAAGGGTTGATGTGAACTGTATGAAAGTCCTTTCAGAAGAAGGACAAATAATTATAAATGTGCAGCTGGAAGGGACCCTATGGGTCATCACATCCTTCCCCTCTCATGGAGGCCCAGTGGGGAATTGGACTCCCGACCTATAATTCCTCACCCAGATACTTCAACCACTGATTAAAGTCATTGCCAAGAGGCTGGTGGCTCCAGTTTTTACAGTGGCATTGAATCCCCTTTGGGTTTTTGTCCATGCTCAACAGGAGCTATCCAAGGTTCTGAAATAGGTTCAGCACCATAGGTAGCTGAAGTTTGGACGAAAACCTGCAATGGATTCAGCATGGTAGCAAAAGCTGAGTTGGTTGCATTTTCTGCTGTGCAGAATGTTCAAGATATTCCTATTTGCTGGAAGAGTGTCAGATGTTAGATATTATTCCGTTTACCACTGCACATGAGGGCAGAGATGTTGCAACAGCCACACAAGAGTCAGGACATGTGTTTGAAGGCTCTCCTTGGTTTCTCCACTGGGCAAACCTATGTTCTTCTTTTTTTTCCCCCCCAAAATAGATACCGACCCTCCGAGAGAAGTCCATTTTGCTGGTTAAAATGATGACCTACATTGAAAAACGTTTTCCAGAAGACCTTGAATTAAATGCCCAGTTCTTAGACCTTGTTAACTACGTCTATAGGTAAATTATAGCAATTAATCAACTGGTTCAGCTTACTCGTCCATAATTTGTCCCATGTGTGACCTTAATAACATACCATCCATCTTTTAATGCTGATCTGGAGTTTTGGAGGGGAGGGACGGGGCTAAAATAACAGTCAATTTCTTCACAATTTCAGGAAGTGTACGTGGTCCTCTTCTGATCCTAAACCAGACTCCTTTTTAAATGAAAAGAAGTATTTCCTGCACCATCTGTATGCTGCATTACATTTTTCTCTCCATACAAAACTGACAGAATTTGTCTGTACCATAAATAATAATGGGTTGCAGAAGTGCAGAATGTTTCATTTCCTAATAGCTGGGTAAATCAGAGTTTTAATTTTTTTAAAGTCCCTTTCACGGGACTGTTTTTGAATAGGGTGAAAAAAATCTAATCGCTTTACAACAAGTATTTGACTGGGCAGATTTCCAGCTCACGAGCACGTCAGGCATGCCAAAGCTGTGCAGCTCATAGTTAGAAGGACCCTCACTTGGAGGCGTTGAGGGTTTTGAGGTTCAGATCTACTCGCATTTTTACATGCTTCCGAACAGCTAGGTTGGCAGAAGCTGGGACAAGCGACGGGAGCTCACTCCGTTGTGTGGATTCGATCCTACAACTGCTTGGTCTTCTGACCTTGCAGGACAGAGGCTTCTGCAGTTTAACCCGCAGCGCCACCACGTCCCTCTATAAGGTCTCAAACCAAAGGCTTTCTGTTCTTCATAACTTCAGATCATTTCAAGTAAAGATTCATTGCGGATTAACCCTTGGGCATTTTGTATATAAAGCATGAACTTTGCTGTTATCTTTTACCTTTGGGTCACGCCTATTTCTGAACCATAGTAGATCCATGTGGCTATTGTAAAAACAATACTTAAGAGGTTTTTCCAAAGGGCAAAGTATTTGTGAATGGAAGAGTTATTAGGTTTCCAACTCTTCTTCCAAACTCATCCCCCAGCTGGTATATATTGACTTGCCTTTGTTACGAACCTCTTCTTGCATCTTTCCAGATTCTCAGTTTAAAATCCCTCCATTTTCTCATAGGGATGAAAACCTTTCGGGTAGCGAGCTGACGGCTAAGCTAGAGCCAGCCTTTCTGTCAGGACTTCGCTGCGCCCAGCCACTTATCCGAGCCAAATTTTTTGAGGTTTTTGACAATTCCATGAAGCGTCGCGTCTACGAGCGCCTGCTGTACATAACGTGTTCTCAAAATTGGGAAGCGATGGGAAACCACTTCTGGATCAAGCAGTGCATTGAGGTAGGGAGACACATCATCCAAATTTCTGCTGAGTTTTTTTTAATAACTTAAAAGTCTTGAGGGTGCGGTGGAATGTACTTTCAGCTGATGAGTTCTGAGCTGCCCATGACAGATTAGGAAAGAGATCTCGGTGTGCTGGTGGGCAGCTAGATGAAAGGGTCAACCCAGTGTGCGGCGTAAGTGAAGAAGGCCAATTCTATACTAGGTCTCATTAAAAAGGGGATGGAAAATAAAACAGCCAACATGAAAATGCCCTTGTACAAAACGCTGGTAGGGCCGCACCTGGAGTATTGTGTAGAGTTCTGGTCGCCGCACCTCGAAAAAGACATCGTGGAACTGGAAAAGGTGAAACAGCAGAGGGAGGAGGTAGCAAATACGGTGCAGGAAAAAAGAACACGGACAACAGGCTCGTCAGTCTGTGGGTGTCGCAGTACAATATTTTGTTGAAAAATCTCTCTTATTTCACCCTGTTCATGAATCGTAGACTCTTAGAATAATGGAGTTGTAAGGGGCCTGTAAGGCCATCCAGTCCAACCCCCTGCTCCAGGCAGATCTTAGAGATGGTGGTCCAATTTTCTGTTGAATGTCTCCAGCCTTGGAGAGCTGACCACCTCCCAAGGCCATGGGTTCCATTGTCATACTGCTCTAACAGTTAGGAAGTTTTTCCTGATATTCTGTCTGAATCTGTCCTCCTGTAACTTTAACCCATTGTTATGTGTCCTGCTCTCTGGGATGATGGGGAACAGATGCTGCCCCCTCCTCTGGATGACAGTCCTTCAAGTATTTGAAAAGTGCTATCCTATCTCCCCATCAGTCTTCTTTCCTCAAGGCTAAACAGTGCCCAGTTCTTCCAGTCTTTTCTCGTAGGGCTTTATTTCATGGAGGGAACTGGTCAAGGTCTGTGTACAGTGGTGCCTCGCTTAACAACATTAATTCATTCCAACGAAATCGCTGTAGAGCGAAAACGTCATAAAGCGAAAATAAAAAACCCATTGAAACACATTAAAACCCGGTTAATGTGTTCCAATGGGCTAAAAACTCATTGTCCAGTGAAGATCCTCCATAAGGTGACCATTTTCAGTGCCTGTATAGCGAGGAATCTGTCCCTAAGCACAGCGGGGAGCCATTTTGAGCACCTGGTGGCCATTTTGAAAACCCGATGATCAGCTGTTTTGATCGTCGTAATGCGAAGAATCGGTTCCTGAAGCAGGGAACCGATCTTCGCAAAGCAAAAAAACCCCATTTAAAACATCGTTTTGCGGTCGCAATTGCGATTGCAAAAACATCGTTGTGAAGCGGATTCGTCGCAATGCGCGGTAATTGTTAAGCGGGGCATGACTATACATTCTAGTAAATGCTGACCATTCAAAATGCATCTGGTACCTGTACACAAATAGACAGGCCACTTAAAGTGGGCAGTTACTAGCCAGTCAGAGTTATTGTTGATGAATCTTGGATACTATACGCGCAACATGCCTTTCCTTTTGATTTTTCTTTGACAACCCCCCTGCCTTTCATGGATTCACTGTAACACAGGCATCTGTGTTGAACAGTGAAGGATAAATCAAGTTAATAAGACGGAAGGTTAAAGCTTACAGGAATACAAAGCACTTCCTGATTGAAGATAAAATAACGTGCAGGCAATACATAACGTAAGTGCTTGCTGTGTGAATACTAAACAATCACTTAAGCACTAAACAAGGAAACGGAATGAGAAGCAATTACTTTTATGTCGCCGGCTACCCCCTACCTCGCCAAAGAATCGGTACACAAAGCCCTGGAGGGGGGTTGAGCCAGATCTATAAAAACATTCTACTTCTGAAACTTTTCCTTTCAAGAGATGAATGGCTTTTTTAGAAACTGTAATTCTTAAAACTGTGTATTTTAGGTTGGAAAGGAGAAGAGAGAAATGGCTGGTAGTGGTCTGGAAACATATTAGAATTCCTGGAAAGAATTCTTCCTATTCTGTAAAAGGCCTTTTCAAATATGTTGTGTTAAGGGTGGGCAAATGTGGAGGGGGGGTTCGCCAAAAGCCCAAATTCGGTTTCACTGAAGTCTTGTGGGAGGTACACCTTCCTGTAATAGGACTAACCAAAGGTAAAAGGGGTGGCGTGGGGTGGGGTAGGTAGGTAGGTAGGTAGGTTGATTGATTGATTGATTGATTGATTGATTGATTGTTGAAGATTGTTGGTTTACAACAATTCAAAGTCCCCACCCACCCACCCGACCAAGGAGAAGATCTAATATTAACAGAAACCTCCATAGGTCAGGAGCTAAGCCAGATCAAATTTACATGTCGTGGGTTGATATATTTCTCACAGAGGCAGGATGTTTCCAAAAGCCTCTTGAAAGAGCTCAGATTTAACCCGCTTTCCTGTAAGCCAGGAGGTTGGAGAACATCCACGAGCGAGGATGAGTGTTGTGGCCACCACTGAAAAGGCCTGGTTCCTAGCTTATTATAGGTCAACGCTCCCACTGGCCGGTGGCAGACATGTAGGAGATGCTGTTACAAATAAGGGGCTAAAGGTTGGATAGGAAGTGGCAAACCCACAAAGGTTGGTGTTGCGCGGAAGTGATCTGGAGAGCCTCAGATCCCCCACCCCAAGGAATAGATGGGGAGGTTGAATCTGAGATCTCCCCCACCCACCCCGCTGTATGAACAGAGCATGCCTTTTTCACTATAGCTTTGAAGAAGAGAACGGAAGCATCCACTTCCCTTTTAAGACTAGACAGAGTTCCCTGTGATTTCTAGTTCATTTCAAATTAGGAATCAGATGCTAGTTCAGACCTGCAGAAACCAAGCCATGGTTTATGGCGGTGACCCTCTTTTTAATGGCAGCTTGACCTAGCTGTCATCCCTTGAGTTTTGGTGACGCGGCAAACTCTGGTTAGTTCACAGACAAAGTGAAGGCTGCCCAGACCGTGCTGAGTGCCGTGTCAGGAAGAAGGCAGGGGAGACTCATGTGCACAACCCGAGCTTCTTTTATTCAATGCCTGGACATTTCACACTTTCCCAACCACAACAGAAGTGGCTATTTTCAAAGATGAGGAAGGTCACCATGCTGCAGCTGGATTTGTGCAGGGCAGAGATCAGGGGATGGTGACTTTCTGGTGTTTTGGACTGTAACTCCTCCTCATCTGAAATGATGGCTGGGACGTCTAGGGATTGAACATCTGGGGGCCCTAAAGTTCTCTCATCCAGATGTTGAACGACCTGGCTAGGTATTCAAAACCCAGTCTTAGGGATAGTAGAACCCCATGGTGAATGTAGTAAAGACCTTCCAGGGGTTTGCCAGTGCCAGTTTCTCCATGTTGACATTAGCTCGATTCAGGTCTGTGGGCTTCCAGGCTTGTGAGTTCCTTGGACACTATCAAGCACATACAGTGGTGCCCCGCATAACGAGCACTTCGTTTAACGACGAATCTGCATAGCGATTAAGTTTTTGCGATCGCAAAAGTGATTGCATTGCGATGTTTTAAATAGGGAAAAATCACTTTGCGATGATCAGTAAGCTGTTTCGCTTACCGATTTTCGCATAGCGATGTTTTTATAACAGATGATTGGCGGTTCCAAAATGGCCGCCGGGTAAAAAAAATGGCCACCCGCTGTGTTTTCATGCCGATTCCTCACTTACCGGGCAGTGAAAATGGCGGTCGTATGGAGTATTTTCGCTGTATGGTGAGTTTTTTGCCCATAGGAACACATTAAACATGTTTTAATGCATTCCTATGGGCTTTTTTGTTTCGTATAGCGACGATTCCACATAGCGACGATTTTTCCAGAACGGATTATCGTCGCTGTGCGGGGCACCACTGTATTCTGTCCTCTCTTTCATGACCAGACTGACCCTTAGGTTGGGCTTGGTGTGCCTTCGTTGTAAGATGCAAGTTCAGCATTGCTCTAGGTGTCCCATTTAAAGCCAACAAAGTAAGATAAGGGAGGGGATGTGTGCTGGGAGAGACGAGAAGGATCTCATAGCCCGGTGTCACTCCTCAAGCCATCACGAGAGATGTTCAGCCGCACATCTGCACAAAAAGCCATTTACACACAGTAGTAAAACCAGGCATGCAGTAATTATTCAAGCTGAAATTAGGAGAACTTGCGATGAAAACCGTCTTCTTAAATGCCCCTAGCTCCTTTTGGCCGTATGCGAGAGGAACACGACAATTGGGACCAGCTGCCAAGGTGCCATGCTCCCGTCCATCACGAATGTGATCAACCTGGCAGACAGTCACGATAGGGCGGCCTTTGCGATGGTGACGCACGTCAAGCAAGAGCCAAGAGAGAGAGAAAACAGTGAATCGAAGGAAGAGGTAACTCCTTTCTTGGATAGCAATATAAACCCCCTCTCCCACCCTGCATGATGAAATGTGGCATGCCAGGCTACACAGGTTAGCCTTAGGCTGAGGCTTGCTTTTCTCTATGTTAGCTGCTTTGATAATTCCTGGAAATCTTAGGCAGAGATCTTTCCCAGTCCAGGTGATTGCATCCTTTTAGCTGTGGATTAAAGAGTGAAAGAGCTTTCTGTTTGCCAGGCAGACCCCCGGCCAGCTGAGCTGACACACTCAAACCCCGAAAAGACATGAGCTGTTTGCCAGTGTGTAGAGTTTTCTCTGAAAACTGAATCGAGGTCCTCTTGCACTGAGAGCAAAAAATCATATCTACATATTAGTATCCCAGCATCAGATACTGTTTTTCTACAGTGTCCATTGTCCCCCCCCCGACATAGCTAGTGGTCCCAGATGATAGGAGTTGTATTCCAGAAGCATCAGGCTTTACTGCCTTTGACCAGTAGCTTCCAATCCAGACTCCCCAGATTTTCATTGGTCCCTAACTTGTAGTCAACACAGCTACAAAATGTGAGATAATAATAATAATCTTAGAATTGTCTAGCTGGAGGGGACCCTCTGAATCATTGAGTCCAGCCCCTTTCAAGAAGCATAGTGGAGTATCGAACTCGCAACCTCTGGCTCCACAGCCAGAAACCTAAACCACTGAACCGTTGGAAATGCCCATCAAAGAAAAGCGCCCATGTTTGAATCTCATGCCTCCGGAGCCTGGAGGTTTGCTATTTCACTGGCGGCCCTTCCCAAAACAAGATCTTAAAATACTTCCTCCATTCTTTCTTTTGTTTTCACTACAACCCTCTCTCCCAAAGACTTGGGCAGTGGTTTCCAGTCTTCTAACCTTTCCCTGGGAAACTTCTTCAGAAATAATGAGATTAAAGCATGAACCGAGACCCTGTGAGGCATCTTGGACAAAACTGTTGTCTTCCACGTGGGTCCCTTGAGAAGACGGCAGTGCCCCCTCCTTGCCGGCCTTTGTGAACTGAAGGCTCACCAATGTTCCTTGAAAGGTTCCTTCGTAGCTCGCCATGCACCAGCAAAACCTACAGCTCAAAAAAATGCAAGACAGAATCGTTGTGTGGCTCACATAGACAGAGCGAGCACGGTGACAGCTCCTCACTCACTCACTCCCTAATCTTTCTTGCGACCTTCCATTGGCATCCTTAGGGACGTGGTGGCGCTGCGGGTTAAACCGCAGAAGCCTGTGCTGCAGGGTCAGAAGACCAGCAGTCATAAGATCGAATCCACGCGACAGAGTGAGCTCCCGTTGCTTGTTCCACCTCCTGCCAACCTAGCAGTTTGAAAGCATGCAAATGCAAGTAGATAAATAGATACCACCTCGGTAGGAAGGTAACAGTGTTCCATGTCTAGTCGCGCTGGCCACGTGACCATGGAAACTGTCTTCAGACAAACGCTGGCTCTATGGCTTGGAAACAGGGATGAGTACCGCACCCTAGAGTCGGACACGACTGGACTAAATGTCAAGTGAAACTTGACTTTTACCCTCCATTGGCATGCCTGGAAAATGGTGTCCAGCAGCAGTTAGCATTAAAAAAACTGACATTTGACTCCCCATCGGGACATTTTGGGTACCTGGTGAATAACGGCGAAAACGTCCCCTTTCTCTCCCCACCCAATTTCTCCTCCCTTTAAAAATTTTTCTTTCCAGGATGTGGAGATAGACATTGAGCTGGCTCCGGGGGATCAGACGAGCACCCCTAAAACCAAAGAGCTTTCTGAAAAGGACATTGGAAACCAGCTGCACATGCTGACCAACCGCCACGATAAATTCCTTGATTCTCTGCGAGAAGTGAAGGTTAGTTAGTTGATGCCTCACTTTTAGGTGACGGTGACTTCAGCTACAGTAAGACTCCCTTATCGGCGGGACCAGTATCTGCTGATTGACTTATCTGCGGTCTGAAAATATTAAAAATATTACAATAAAAATCCCCCCCCCAAAGTATATTTTTAATGATGAAATTACGAGAACTGGCCATAAGAGCAAGCCAGAGATTGTGCTACGTATAGCATTTGCTCTTATAATAGTGCNGCTTTAAAAAAAAGGGAAAAAAAGAGTTTGTAACTCGAATCTAAGTTCGTAAGTCGAGTCCATATATTCCTATGAGAGCGGTTCGTAAGTCGAAACGTTCGTATGTCGAGCCGTTCGTAAGTCGAGACCCCACTGTATAGCATTTGCTCTTATAATAGTGTTCCCTATAATCTGCCTTTTACAGCATCTGCAGGGGGGATCCCTCACTGATATGGGGGTCCTACTGTACTATTATTTGTATTGTTTTATTTATATGTTATTGTAGTTATTGTTATTATTGTCCTTTTATTTTTTGGCACTACTTCTCAGAGGTTTAAAGCAACAAAAATGTTAGATCATAGTTTTCGCTTCTGCAGTTGAAGCTTGTTGTCCATAAATGCGAAAAGAATCTTGGGTTTTAGTTCTACTATTTAAGCTTTACTGCTGCCTCTTACCATCTTAATACTTTAAAACGTGAGTATCTTTTCTGTTGGCGTGTTTATATTTACCATAAAAGTTGTGATTTTATTGATCCTTTGTTCTTATACGCACAAATGGCCCTGAGTGGGGTGATCTATGAACCTTTTAAAGAAATAGACATAGAGAAATGGTGCGCACTCCCATTAAAAACACAATCATGCCAGTATACGAGAGGTCCAGACTCTTCATAAGTAGAGAGAGCTAAAGTAAAAGGACTGGTTTTTATTGAACCCCTAAACCCATCAGACTTTGAGGCTTGATGTCTTCCTGAGAGAGGTTAAAAGATAGCTCGCATTAGGAAAAAGATAGATCACATTAGTTATATTTCTTTAAACCAACTGTGTAGGTCCATAAGTTGCATCGCTAAATGTGAGATGGGGATCACTGCTTAAGTTTCTGTGACTTGAATAGCAGTTTTAGTGATAAAGGAGACCGTTTGTTGTTCATTGCACTAACTTGGGTTATTTTATTTGAAGACTGGTGCGTTGCTGAGTGCGTTTGTCCAGCTGTGTCACATTTCCACGCCCTTAGCTGAGAAAACCTGGATCCAGCTGTTCTCCAGATTGTGGAAAATATTGTCGGATAGACAGCAACATGTGAGTGCAATTTTTAAAAAACTAAACTGGGTGGAGGGGGGATGTGGAACAGTAATGTGAATTTCAGAAACATTTCACTGCCTTAATTTTGAAGCACAAATCTTTTATAGCCCCTTACTCTGTGTATTAATGATTTGCAGAAAGAATATCCTTTAAACGTCAGAGAAAAGGAGGTGGTTCAAACTTCCTTAGAAAGAGACAGTATATCAGAACAGTCACTTCAAGAACTGTGGGTTGATGGCGTTCATTTAGCTCTTGAGTCTGTGCAATGGTCTGAATTGGCAGATTCAGTTAAAACATTACTTCTGGAAGAAACACCCACTTCATTATTAGGTTATGTTAAGTACGTTAAGGGTTCTGCATCATGAATCCTCTAGGAAGAACCATTCAATCTTCCATAAAAATAATTTAAACGTTGCAACCCTATCTGAGCTTAGGAATAATTTTCCTTTGGCTTACTCTCCTTCTTCCCTCACACACTCAGGATTCAAGTAGCTGCTTCCGGTTTTAATAAGGTTGTCGCATCCAAACAAGGCATGTGTGTTGTCTCCAAACGATGATCAGGCTCTTTGCAATTGACGGTCGGTCCTCCATAATGTGAGACTAGAGGAGAAAGGAGCGTTTTCCCTACACATACAGTGGTGCCTCGCTTAGCGATTGCTCCGTTGAGCGACGAAATCGGTTAGCGACGGAGTTTTTGCGATCGCAAAAGTGATCACTTTGCGATGGTCCCTATGGGGTTTTTTTGCTTTGCGATGATCATGGGGAACCGATCATGGCAAAGCGACCCTTTTTTAACAGCTGATCGGCGGTTTCAAAATGGCCGGTGGGAAAACAAAATGGCCGCCCGCTGTGTTTCCTCGCTTAAGAGGCAGTGAAAATGGCCACCCCTATGGAGGATCTTCACTTAAAGGTTAGTTTTTAGCCCATAGGAACACATTAATAGCATTTTAATGCGTTTCTATGGGCTTTTTAAAATCGCTTAGTGATGAAATCGCTTAGCAACGTTTTTTCCGGAACGGATTAACTTCTTTAAGCGAGGCACCACTGTAGTTCAGAATTGGACTCCGAGGAACTGAAGTGTTCCCTCCCAAACTTCTGGAAACGAATTGGGTCTTTTCCTAAGATCAGATAAGACTGTGTGGTCCTAGTGGCAGATGGTGGCCATTGTGGTCGATGGCGGGACAGAAGACAAATGCACGCTCATTCGCTCACTTGCTTTTGTACAGACACACACAGAGTCTGATAGGCAACAAACTCATGCAGAGGCAACAAACTCATTGCAGAGGAGTCATGCAGGAAGGTCTATGGCTGTGTAGGGTAGCTCCCCACTTTCTGGAATTAATGAGCCACCACCTTGTTGTATTCTTCAACCCACCTGATCCCAGTGTTCCTTTCACCTACCCTTGACCATAGCCACCTGCCAGTTCTCGGTGGAGAGAAGAAGCTTCAGGGTCTATTAAATGAGCCCGCCAGGTTGGGTATTTTGAAGACGGGAAGTATGAGCGTTCCACGTCCTTGCTCTTCGAGAGCGCTGGAGTTGACTGCATGCATTAACAGAATCGCGATGCAGTTGCGTGGATTCCTAAGCCTTGAGCCTTTGCGTGATGGTCTTTTTCCTCTCCCCTCCACCCCTTCCAGGCTCTAGCAGGGGAGATCAGCCCTTTCTTGTGCAGCGGGAGCCACCAGGTGCAGCGCGACTGCCAGCCGAGCGCGCTCAACTGCTTCGTGGAAGCCATGTCCCAGTGCGTCCCCCCCATCCCCATCCGGCCCTGCGTGCTGAAATACCTGGGGAAAACACACAACCTCTGGTTCCGCTCGACGCTGATGCTGGAGCACCAAGCCTTCGAGAAAGGTCTCAGCCTTCAGATTAAGCCCAAACAGACCACGGAGTTTTATGAGCAGGAAAGCATAACTCCTCCGCAGCAGGTAGGGCGCAAGGCTTGCATTAGGCATCGTAGCTTTCTTGTTAAAAATATAAATAAACCTGCTGAGCAAATAATGCATGTATGCACAGTTGCTTTTTCTTTCTTGGGTCCTGTTTCCAGCTCAGATCTGTACAGACCTGTTGTATTAATAGTAACTCCCATCATTCTATGGTGGGGAAACAGGGAGACGAAAAGAAAGTGATTTAAATTTTCTCTGTGCTTTGGGTGAAAAGATGCTCTTTCCCTGCCAGCTGTGGCCTAAATCCAGTGGCTAGTTCCAACTTAATTTTAAGTCCATTGGATGTAATCTTACTAAGTTTGGGAAATCAGGACTCGCTGTCAAGTTGG